GATTTGGTGAAGACGACAGCCCGCAGAGTTCAGAGGCCGTTCTTTCAGAGGTGGTGCCGTTCAACCCTTTCGAGGAGCCGTTCTTGCAGCTTCAAGCCAGCCTCGGTCAGTGGAGATTCTTGGGGATTTTTTTTTCTTTAAGGGGGGTATATCTATACAGACGTGTGAATATATGTATGTGTGTGTGTGTGTGTGAATATATATATATTTACATATATGTATATACATATATACATATATAAACACGCACACACACGCGTATATATATGTATGTATGTATGTATGTATATATATATATATCATCATCATCATCATCATATTGACATCATGTAGCTGACTAGGTCTCTGGGGTGGCTGATCAATGATCCATCCCCAAGGGCTAGTTGGTTAGGTAATCATTGCTGGTGGTTCTCAACCCGACATCATATCTTCGATAGACTCACCTTCTACTGTATCTAGGTGTTGCCCATGATCACATGCACGTGTGTATATATATACATATATGTGTGTGTGTGTGTCTGTGTGTGTGTGTATACACATAAGTATGTATGTATTTATGTATGTATGTAGATATATGCATCAATATGTACTTATACAAACACTCATATGCATTAGTTGTTACCTAATAGATGAATATATGGCTGAATTAGCAGGTTTATGAATGAATAGAAATATAATGACATCTAACCCGCTCAACGAATATATTCAAAAGTCCATTCCATAAAGATGCCACTAAGAGCCAGCGACGAAACAAAACCCTTTACATTTTTTATTCTCCCGCAGTGCCGCCTGTCCCCTACCACATCGTCGAGACGGATTACACTTCCTACTCCTGCGTGTACTCCTGCTTCGACCTGCTGAATATCCGAGCCGAGCTATTCTTCATTCTCTCGAGGACGCCTGAGATTTCGCCCGAGACCAAGCAGCGGTGCCTCGACCTCTTTGAAGAAAAGGACGTCGACACGGGGAAGCTCGTTGAGATGCAGCAAGAGGGGTGTCCGCGAGAGGATGAGGGGGTGGAGGAGGAGGAGGAGGAGGAGGTCGTGGAGGCTGAGGAGGTCGCCGAGGAGGAGGTCGAGGAGCGAGATGAGGGACAGGAGGTTGAGGTGACTGAGGATGGTGTGGATGCTCTTGGGGTCTTGCAGAACGCAGATGAGATTCCTGGGGGTCCCGGACGAATGGATTCTGAAGTTCGGAAAGACGCCTCCGCTGATGGTTCCACTGAGGTCGAAGGACAGGACTTGGAGAATGGCAAGGACTCTTCTGCAAGTGAGGCAGGGGATCGTGGAGACGCTGTGATATCTGTTGATTTGAAGGGTTGCGTTGAGGAGGCCGATTCTGAATTAAAGGGAGACGGCAATGATAGTCCTGTAAATACACAAAGGAAAGATGAAAGATACATATCAGAAGAGGAATACGGGCTCTCCGTCCTCGAGGAAGCCGAAGATTTCGTCCAGGAAATCGAAGAAGATGTCGCCAGAGCAGTGGACATCGTCGAAAACTCGGCTACGAAGCTGATCGAAGAGACGTCGGAGATCTTGGAAATTCACGGGAAAGACGTCAAGAAAACCTCGCTCGAGATTGACGAGCGCACGCGCATACAGGGGATCGAGGACGGAGATCACTACAATTCTTCGAGTCCCCCTCTCTCACTTCCCACAGCAGCCTCGGTGACTTTTGCTGCTCTCTGTCTCTTCCTTTATCGCTAGATTCTTTTCATGAACAGTACCTTAAAAATGGTGGGACGTGCCATAAAAATGACTGTGACTCGTGACCTGATGCTGACACTCAGTGCTTCATAGAGACTAGTGTCTTAGAGGAATCATCAGTAGTAGCTTTTGCTGACTCACGAGATTCACTGAAGACGTTTAGGGAGAACCGCTAATTCTGTGGGCGAAATAGAGGCCTTTGAATGACATCCACATGAATGGTGTGGACGGATTTTGGATTTCACTTTACGCCGTAGTAATTTACTATAGATTCATTGTTACATGCAGGCGACTGCATTCGATTCTATTACCTTATACAATTGTAAATATTGCATTCATATCTCTTATATCTATTTATAGTATCAGATCTGATTTCTATACTATGACTTTAAAAAAAATAAAAGAGTCGTTAGGAATGTTGCATCTGTGCTTTTTTTGTGCGTGTGTATTACGCATGGTATGTGTGTGTTAGGGAAAGAGAGAGAGAGAGAGAGAGAGAGACAGACAGACAGAGAGAGAGAGAGAGAGAGAGAGAGAGAGACAGACAGAGAGAGAGAGAGAGAGAGAGTGATATCGTAGTCTCCCCTGAAATGTAGATATATCATAGTCTCCTGAAAATCACCTAGTCACCAATTTCTGGTTTACTAATAAATACTATTGATATATGTACTTCTTAAAATATATTCTCTTTTTATGTTTAACAGACAAATGTTTATTTACATAGTTATGTTACAAAAATACTTGTAAGTCCTCAGCATTCTCAGGAAATTAAATAAAATAAGACATTAGAACAGATTTCCCATTAAAACCTTAGTATTATACAAATATCTTCTCTAGTCTTGTCTTCCGCTGACGATAAGCCTTAACGGACTAAATCACGGCTGTATATACAGTTTGGCTACTCTGAAATCAGCACTGCCTTAACGGACTAAATACGGTGGTAGAAATACTGTTCGGCCAAGAGTCCTCATCCTGGGCGTTAAAGGGACTTATACCGCCGTCAAACACCTACAAACGCACTAGTGATTAACAGATTGGTGACCTCGAAGTTGTGTAACGCCTGGTGATCTATTACCTTCAGTGATTTTCATCAGTGTTTGTGCCACCTGTGTCTAAGGATGCCTGACAAGGAAACCAGAAGCAACGCTGCTACCAAAGATGACATTACATCTATCAATGCATTCCGAGCACCGATTTTCTGCAGTCATTACCTTTCCATGGGGTTCACCATCCTCGAGTGTTGTTTTAAAGCACACTGCATCAGCATAATTGTCAAGTTTAGTCATGCAACATCTCACCTTCCTCTAGATGCTTTGGCTCAAGTTTCAGATGACATTTCAACTGTTGCGCTGTCAGATGAGCAATGATGAAGACTGCATTGTTGTCGAGACAGGAATTTTCCATTACTGCGAGACTTCAGGAACTCAGCAAGGAAGATATCGGCAATGAAAAACCTTCCAATTTGGATTTGTTACACCGAATGAAGAAGCTCCTTGGCGACAAGTAGTTTTGACAAGACGATCTTTCTACACCTTTTCTTCCAACCCCGGCCTTCACATATTAAGCAGGGATTATTCACAGTAAAAGGGAAGCTCACCATAAATGAACTCATTGAATTAGCAGATGAGTTTATGGCGTCGCTTCCTACTTCATGTGTGGGACTCACTCTCTAACATCAAGTTCCTAGTCGACACTGGCGCCGAGGTTAGCATTTTGCTTGCAACAGCAAGTCACAAATCACTCCCTCTGAATCAACTATAAACGTATATAAATGGAGAACTCTTGCAATCAACCTCAAGTTTTAGCACGCATTTCAGTGGACTTCCTATGTAGCAGCTGTGTCTCAAGCAATACTTGGTGCCAATTTTTTTTAGAAGCTTCAACTTCCAAGTTGACATTAAAAATTAGAGACTCCTTGGCACTACTTCTACAAAGTCTATTAAAGCTCAACTTCTACATGGAAATAGTTTGCAGATCTCTACAATTGATGCCAACAATCCATTTGCATCACTGCTGAAGTCCTTTCCTTCACTTAGCCATCCTCTGCAACCTCTCCTTTAAAGCATTCCATTACTCATCACATTGAAACAATTGGTCGACCTACGCATGCTGTATCGTCGATTACCTTCAGAACAGTATCGTTTAGTAAAAGAAGAGCTCGAGTCCTTGCTACATCATCTGCACTGCACATCGTTTCTAAGAGTGGAGAACTGTGACCCTGCTTTGTCTACAGAGTTCTCAATGCTCAGACGCTAATGGATCCTTACCCAATTTCCTACATTCAAAAATTTACTTCATAATTTTTCTGGATGTTCTCCAAAGCTGATCTGGTTAAAGCATTCCATCAAATACCAGTCCACCCTTCAGACATCCCGAAAACAGCCATTATCCCCCCATTTACCTTGTATGAATATGTCCGGATGCCTTTTGGACTGAAGAATGTGGCACATGCATTCCAGCTTTTCATTGAAGTTTCACGAGGAAGACCATTTGCCTTTGCTTATATTGATGATCAACTCATCACCAGTAAGGATGCTGCTGAACATCAGGATCATCTAATGCAAGTCTTCAAACGTCTGAACGACTACACAGCACCAGCTCAAGGAATTCCTAGGGATGATTAGCTACAACAGATTCATTCCAAAGTGTTCTCTACTTCTCCAACCTCTGTATTCCTTAATCAGACTATGCAACAGATGTCAGTCAGCTGCTCTTGTCTGGATTCCTGAAGCTGATATTGCTCGTTGGATATCAAGATTTGGAGTACCAACCAATTTAACATCAGACAGGGGAAGTCAATCTGAGTTGCAACTTTGGAGCATTACTTTGAATTACTTGGAATTCGACGTTATCGCACTTCAAGTTATAATTCTCAAGCAAACAGTCCCGTCGAACGTTATCATCGTCAGCTGAAGTCATCACACATGGCTCATAAAGATTGTGCTTTTAGGCATCAGGACCTTGATTAGACCATGGCTCCACTTCTTCGGGGCTTGCATATGGAACATCAGTCCGGCTACCTGGTGAATTACTCTGCCATTCCAATGCCTCCATTACCAACCTTACTCAGGATTATGCAGCCAAGCTCAGGGATGTGATGTCCAAGCTTCGACCTGTTCAGCCACGGCAGCCGTCTTCAAGCAAGTCTTTCTCCATGACTGGACCCATGTATTCGCCCAAGTAGATTCCATCCGACGTCCACTATAGCCACCATATGAAGGTCCATATAAAGATCTTAGGCACACAAGGAAGACTGCAATGGGACTTTTGGATGCAATCGCCATAAATCAT